GGGGGGGGGGGATCATGATTTGAACAAAATTTGAGTCTACATTACCTGAGGATGCTTCCATTTAAATATGACTAATTATGGCTTTGCTGTTCTTGAGAAGAAGATTTTAAAAGGCTTTTTCCTATGTATTCCTATGTAAAACTTTGATCACCCATTGTGGCCCCACCCTACCCCTGGGGGGAGGGGGGGTCATGACTGGAACAAACTTGATTCTTCATTACCTGAGGATGCACCCATATAAAAATGACCAATCATGGCTTTGCTGTTCTTGAGAAGAAGATTTTTACAAATTTTTCCTATGTACATGTATTATATGCAAAACTTTGATCGACCATTCTGGCCCCACCCTACTCACGGGGGTCATGATTGGAACAAATTTGAACCTACACTACTTGAGGATGCTTCCTTTTAAATATGATCAATCATGGCTTTGCTGTTTCTGAGAAGAAGATTTTTAAAGGCTTTTTCCTATGTATTCCTAAGTAAAACTTTGATCACCCATTGTGGCCCCACCCTACCCCTAGAAGTCATGATTTGAACAAACTTGGATCTACACTACCTGAGGATGCTTCCATATAAGTTTCATATTTTCAAGCACAGTGGTTCTTGACAAGTTTTTAGGTGATGCCATCAATTTTTCACAAATTCATGATTATCTCCCCTTGGAAGAAGGTGTGGCCCTTCATTTGAACAAACTTGAATTCCCTTTACCCAAGGATACTTTGTGGAAAGTTTGGTTGAAACTGGCACAGTGGTTCTTGAGAAGAAGATGAAAATGTGAAAAGTTTACAACCACGACAACGATGACGACAGACAATGGACATATTTCGATCAGAAAAGCTCACTTGAGCCTTTGGCTCAGGTGAGTTAAAAAAAAGTTTCATCCTTTTCCTTTGGAATGCCGTCGACAGCTTGAAGCATCAACTCTGTACCTTGGCATGGTGCAACAGGCCCTATTGCTAAATGTACTGACTGTAAAATATTCCTGAACAGTATTGCAAATAGTCCAATTTCTGAGATACTTGACACTTTAAGGGAGGGTAATCTCCATTTGACAGGATATGCTTTGCATGATTGAACAATTTATGCTGAGATCTCTCATCTTTTGACCAATTTATATGCACTGATGATATGAATTCAAAATCTGTAAAAGCAATGACAAATTGATGTTTGTATTAAAGTTCATAATTGATATTGCAATAATTATGATAATCAAAGAAGACATTTTAGTACAGTAAATTTTCATTTATACCCAAAAGCAAAAGAGCATGTATTTTGATGTTCTAAATGACATTGGGAATTAGGGAATAATTTCAATTTTACAACAAAGGGACCTTGGCAATGCTAGCCTGAATCACCTTTATTTCCTATTTTGTAAGAGATCCAAATGCCTTAAATGGCTAATTGAGTTTAATGCAAACCTGCAAATGATCCAAATATAAAACAAGCTAATTCAGAGAATTGTGGCCCCCACTTATGGAAAAAAATGAGGATGGAAGAACTGGACCAAAAAAAAATGCAGATGGAAAAAGAAAAAGGTCAACCTTAACCTTTCAGCTTTTGGCCTTAAAGTCAATTGGTGTCTTTTTTTATTAAAGAAATAAATTCAAGTCCTCAAAGAGAACCAAAGTTATCACCAGGACATTATTTATTGCAAGATATGAATTTTTCAACTAAACCTTTTAACTTTGAAATCAAAGGGGATTTCTTTAAGTCATTGGGAATTATGATATAAAATTTAACAGAAAAAGCTCAAGGGAAACTAAAGTTATTATTTGAGTTTTTTTTGTATTGTAGGAATTTCCAACCTTGACCTTTTGACCTCAAATCAATAGGGATCTAAGTCCATGACTTCTTCCATTTTCCGCCACTCTTTGCTCTGTAAAATAATTGAAAAAGCCATGAAGTATATATACCCTTATACATTACAGTTAATGCTAAAAATGCTAATGCTGAAACATTTTGAATGAATCATAATTAAATAATTTTAAAGCTCAAAACTTGAACTATATGGACTGGACTTTTCAGTTTATCAGTCACATATTCAGGCATCTTCACCATTTAGACCTTACTTCACATAAATTGTTCTTTGTTATTTTACTTATCAGTAATGTGAATGAGCAGTTACATGTATATTATCATGATTATAGTAACTTGTATGTATACATTATAAAATGTTAACCACATGTACAAACTCTGGTTCATGTCATTGAACTGCATGAGAACAATGTCCACTTGGTTATATTTTTCAGTGTGGAAATGAAACATATTTGTTAATTTTATTTTTTGAGATATTAAACATTGACATTATCTTTATTATTATGTAGAACCTTAAAAATATTATATTATATTACAGTAAGTGATCACCTGTTTGGTTTGATTCAATTGTTGCCTTGTCAATAGGAACACATTTCTGCTAAAGAATAAACATTAATTTTAATATTAACTATACAATACTTAATAATCCTCATAGTTACATGAATACATGTACTTATAACCAGTTATGTACACATAAAATGAAACAGAAATCACACTTGAGATTTTATTTTTAGAACTAATTCAAAACAATATGCAATTGAAATTTTATTTCCAAACAGGATTGGATCATTTACATGTGAAATGATCAATATTATGAAACTATTGAGTGTAAAAGCCATTCATCAACATTTACTGTAGAATCCTTAATTTATGTGAGTACTAAATATACTCAAATGAGAACAAGAATTAGCAAGTGGACTGCTGCTCAAGAGTTTTCACTTTTTACATGTATTTCAGCTATAACATAATAAAAGCAGGTAATTTTGCTTCATAAGTGAAACTTGATGTATAAGCTACTGAGTAAATTTTAGAAATAATTTGATAAAACTTTAAAATTTACATATAATTATAAACACACAGTATATGTATATGTACCTTTAAGCTCTTCCTTCAGCTTTACTTCCATACTGAATTTTTAAAGTGTGTTTGTATACATCTTTTGCATATACCTGTAACAATTAGGAATCAAATTAGTTGATAGATATAAATCATAATAGATTGGACATGTAAGTTGTATAAACTTGATATCAATAGGTTTTCACAAACTATAAACACAAAGTCAGTAAATATTTCCAATTATGATATCACTTTGTGATATTATATTTACATGTATAGGGTTGTCCTTAAGACCTGTGGGACTGGGGAATTTCTTCACCTATAATGACATAATTCCCCAATTACTCTGGTATTGCCCTCTCAACCCTCACTAAGGGGAGGAACCCCCAACATGTTTTTTTTTTTTTTATATATAAATCTGTTTCATTTCTTATTGACAACCCAAATATCATGTACAGTGTCTCTCTGAAAACTTTAAGGTCAGAAATTAAGTTAATTTCAATGGTTTAGCAAAATTCCTTAAGTTTTTAAACTGTATAATGTTCTTACCAGTTCCAACAGGCAAAACCTCATTCAGCTTGACCCTCTCGGTTAACGGGTTTGCATAATAGCGTCTCCCCTATCAGGTATGGGTGACAACATGTTCTTTTTTCCTTTTCCAGTGTAGACCAAGTATATTTCTGTGTTTGACACATACATGTACATGTAGGTATGTTTACAGAAATTAGACTGTCCAAGTCCCATAACAGCTGTATGGTTCAAGATGGTTAACGATAAGAAGCGTTTCACGGACAGAAATGTCTTATGTGCTGCATTTAAAATACCTTGTATATTCAGCTGAATCTATTTTACAATCTTTCAACAAAGCTAGAGATCTTTTATCATAATATTGTCCTCAAATCAACACTTCATCTTTTCGTCTGCCATTAAGACATCACACTTTTAATTCCTTTAAATAAGGAGAGTTCCACTAAGGGAGATAATTTTTCTAATAGTTTCAGCCAACTTCAATCTATTTTTAAATTAGCATAATGCCATTTGCAACCAAATTCCTTTTAACTATATATTGATTGTGAAGGATTTTTGCAATTAAACTGATATTTATAATGTTTTAAGCGTTTCTTGGGTTTTTACAGCATTCTAAAGATAGTGGTATTTTAAACACATTGATTTAATCTAATTTTAGACCCCACTTTTTACAGAATCAGTGTTGATAAATGCAATTAAATAAAATATTTCTAGTTAGAGCACTTCCTTTAAATTTATTTAATATGTAACATTTGAATAAAAGTGCATTTTTTCCTGCAATTTTTTTCTCTTAATCTATGGGTGTTTTTCAAAATATTTTCATAAAATGTGCTAAAAATAGAATATAGGGCTATAATAGGGATCCCCAAAGGTACCTGACAGTTTTGATACTGGGATTTATTAGAGGACACATGATGCTAATCAGAAACAATAAAATCAGTCAAAATGATCACAATGCCTTTCATAATAAAATTTGGATTTTGCATGGTTTTCTCGTAGACACGCATTTAAGGGATTTAACCTGGAATCATACTTTCCGTTTTCCGTTCTGTTCCGCTTTCCGTTCCGTTTTCCGTTCCGCGTTTTAGCAACACCCGTTCAACAGCGCGAGCGCTCGCGAACATTTCTGTTGGAGGTATAACGAATTTTGGCGAGCGCTCGCGAACGTTCGATCTGTTAAACAGGCCTCTGGTTTATATAAAAACTACTGAATAGTTGGAAGAGAGTCGACTTACATATACTCGTATATAAATGAAATACGCAAGTGATGTATAGAATCAGACTGTATTGGTTTATATTTTCAGCTAATCTTACTTTTATATTAAGCCTTCAAATAAAGAAAAATCCGTCAGAATTCTGGAAGACTATATTTCTTTTAAATACATTTAACATTTGTCATAAATTAGTATTTATTATGAGATTAGCAAATTCAGTATACTCGTATTTGGCCGTAATATGTTTATATACATTAATTTAATTTACTTTAAATTCAGTGTACGATGTTCAGTATACTATAGATTATTAAAATTTATTGCTCATCCTTAATCTGAAGCATATTAAAGCAAATGACACAATGGTCACATTATTTAATTTTTTAGAAACATTTTGCCGAAGAACATCGAGCATCATCTAGTGTCAGATTTAGAAACATGAATGGAAGTTCAAATCAAAACATGTCGCACGTCCGGTCTGGTATTTGCCGAAAACTTCATTTTTGCATGGTGTGCGGAAAAGCATACTGTCGGAAAATAGAACTGGACATGCATCTCTTCTGTCATTCTGTTCCGCTTCTGTCACCGGAAAACCTATGGCGACGCCATGTGACGGATCTGATGACGCAATGTCCGTGCTGTTCGAGAGGATTTTGCAGACGACAGGATCTAATACATCACATGGACGGTGAAGGCAACTGCACAGGCAACTGCACGAGAGAGAAATCAACTTTCACGCCGAAAACAGAAAAGGCAGAGAACAGTTATTGTACAGATTTATTGAACTTAGAAAACTGTATGCAAAAACCAATGCCATGTCAAATGACAGATAGGCATGTAAATGAATTAGGTAAAAGTTCAAGAAAGTTGGACAGACAGTGCGCCATAGTGCAGAGATTTTTAGATGCAGAAAAACGGACTCCATTTGCTGAAATTGAAAGCGATGAAAACAACAACACGGCAAGTTTTAGAAAACGTGGTCGTCCCAAGAATAATGTTCGAAGTAAAGACATGGAAAGTATATCTAGAGAGTCGTCGATCTCACCAGGTAGACATTTGGAGAAACGGGGCAAAAAATACTTTCAGTGTCAACAATGTTATCGAGTGTTTAATAACAAGACAAATTTGATTATCCACGCAAGAATTCATACCGACACCAGGCCGTACAATTGTAAATTTTGTCACAAGTCGTTTCGCCAGTTGTCACATGTACGCTGTCACGAGCGTCGTCACACAATGGACGAACCCTATTCCTGTGAAGTCTGCAGCAAAAGATTCAAGCAACCTTCCGGGTTATTTATTCACTGTAAGAAAAATCATGTGTAAAAGATGTTAAGCATTGGATCCTGACGGATTGAATTAGAGACACTTTTTTCATTTATCGTTATTAAAATTGCATGTCACTAAAAACAATTAATATTGCAATTTCATATGCATTTAAAAGAATTATTGATATGATAATCAAACTAAATTTATATTCATTAATTTAATTTTCATACAGAATTTAATCTACAATAATTTTTTTAGATTCTTTTTTTTTTTGTTTATGATTTCGGATATCTAGTGTTGTTTTCCAGATACCGGAGCTGCTATAATTGTATACAAAATGATCTTGTTTTCAATATTGCAATAATTTTGTTTCTACGGTGCACGTGTTTCGTTGTTGTTCAAGAAATTGATATTTGAAAAGATTAAACAATGTTTTTTGTTGATATGTATATTAATTTTTATTTTGTCGTACTTTAAAATTACAGGAATTATCTACACTATAATCTTTAGGTAAAGGCGTAACTAAATTAATTTGTAACCAAATTACAGGAAATTTCCAGGATGTAAATATACAATGTTGCTTCATGATTTATATATTTGAAATGTGTTTAAAGGGATGAAAAGTTCAAAATAATATATAGCTATCATTATATCGGCCAAGTTTGATTTTCTGTACTAAATTGAGATCTGAAATATGAATTGGCTCATATAATCCAAGGGGAGATCTAGCGAACGTGGGCGTGCTACTGATTCTCCTACTGGTATGCCAACGGCAAAAAAAAAATATATATATATATGATCTTGATATTCCTGTTCTAATCAGATCTCGGGTTCCGAATAAAAAGCACATTCAAAGGACGAATTTTGACTATTACCAAAGAAATAATGTTGGACTAGGAGGTCTCTGCCAATGGAAGAAAAGATTGATTTGATTTGATGTAGTTGTCTAGCTGTCTTAACGTCATAAAATCGAAACCGAACGATTCATTCCGCAGAGTGTCCTTAGTGATCAAGAAATAAGGTCAAATCTCAAAGGTAAAGGTCTATCAGGGTACCTGACACGATTTCACTATATCTACAACACGTACCTGTCCAATAACCTTGATCTCCTGAAAGTTATTTAAATATAAACCTGTATAGGGCATCAGCAATATCATGCATAAGTAAAAATGTCTTGAATCAGCGGCTTATTGACTGATGCAAAGATAAGTGTGAAAAATCACTTTATATACACTATAGTGGTAGCCAGGAATATTAGAGAGGGGAGACATTCTTTTGTTTGAAAAAAAATGAATTCAAACCATCAACAATCATTTTTTCAGCTAATACTTTCCCTTTAGCATATTAAGCAAAGGAGAAAGGCCGAAAACTGTCCATTATGTGAGAGAAAGAACTACAGTAATCGAGGGCCGTAGGCCCGAGATTAGTTCTTTCTCTCACAGAATGAACAGTTTGAGGCCTTTCTCCTACTTTAAACATGATTTCCTTTGTTCTGAAAATTAAATAAAAAATGTACAAAACTGGTATCAGATATGACAGGTAGCAGATATACAATGACAAGTTCATTGTTTATCGGAATGGACAGTCACAGGTGAGCTAGGGATGCAGAGCAATTTGTTGAATAGCCATTGTGTTTCCAGATGCAAATAACAAAAGGTCTTTGTCTTAAGAATGGACAGTTACAGGTGGATTTTTGGGATACTAGTATTTATACAAGTATGCGATGCTTCAAAATCAGTTTACAGTTTGCATTGTAAAGGCATACATGTTTTCCTGTGATGGAGAGAGTATATGACAGAATCAAATTCTAATGAACCAAAATATGCACAAAATTAGTGATATTTGGATCTGGAAACAAAAGTAAGAGTAAAAGAAATATTAGCCAAATTTGGACCCAAAAATGAACTATGACGACAGATACAGATGATCAAATTTGAATCAAACCTAGAAATATAGTATTTGAATTCTGTTTTTGAGGACATATCAACTGCAGCAGTGTAATGGTGAGATGCAAATTGTGTTCTGAGTGTTATATTAGCCATGAGTCAATCTTCGACCTGAAAATGTTTTTCAAGTCAAATTTGGAAATGTTGCATTTTTATTTATTTTCTATCGAAATATTTACTGCAGCAGCGTAGTGTTCATGGTGCAAGCTATTTTCTGGGTGGAGGATTTAATATACTAGTACTATACGTACTTCTATCTGAAAATGAATTCTCCTCGAGGGAATGATTTTTCCGAAATTTAATCAGATGTGAAATTGTGTCATTTGAATTCAAGTTTTGTGAAAATTTAGTTTTGAGTATTGAAATAATGTGCATTATTCATGGATTTAAAAGAGTAAAATCGAGTGGATGCTGTGCAGTCATTGTGTTCTGGATTAACTTTATCTCCGCGTTCTTTTTGTAATTTACATGTAAATTAAAAAGTATTTAATCTATTTGTTTTTGTTTCCCTCTTGAACACATTCCAAAGTTTGTAACTCTCCATTCTGTTTGTTTTAACTGTCCATTCTTTTTGAAAAAACTGTCTATTCTTAAAAGAATGGACAATTTTCCAAAAAGAATGGACACTTACAGGTAACTTAATGGATTGTTTGGGGAGTTAGCTAAACATTAAGCTATAGAATGGACAACACAAACAAAAGGTTTACGTCACAATCATGTTTTAATCAGACGGTAAACATTACTTCTCATCTACATACTATTCAATGTGAAGTTGGACAAAGTAAAACGACAATATCATACCATCAATAAAAATTCCGTTCAATTATTAAGTAATGCGTTTGATTATGTGATTGTATATTATTTATTTCATCATTTGGAACAGACAGCACACATTACTTCTCTTCCACCAACATAAGGTGGACATTTCATCACACCACATTTAGCTCCAACAGGATTAAAATAGTGTTCAAATCTATAAGTCTTGCCACCGGGTAGTTTGTCTGCGTGTTTGTCCACACATACATATGATGCTCCAGCCATAAGGTATCCTTGGTACTCCAGTCGCCAGCCTTTATAACACGTTTTTCTTGCTGTAATTAACAAACACAGTTAGGCGGGGTACTGCTCTTTCCCCCACTTTTGTCTGAGAAAGGTCTTTTACTTATTCAGTATGGAAAGAGCTAGGCTTACTTTATCCATAAACCGGCACTGTCAGTAAACCATTAACTGACCAAGACTCCATGTCCTATATTTCAAACATCAAAATAAAGTAGAGACTATGTGCTGTCCTTTCCTATTAAAAGTTTCTTCTGAGAGTCCAGGCTCCAAAATTTTAACCATAAACTAAGAACAGACTTAAGTAAAAAAATTTTGAATATCTTCAGTTTTATTTTACATATTTGATAAAAATTTTAAAGTTTTGTATAATATTTTAAATTCGAACAATATATAGGTATATTTTTGATTCATTATCACTATATTATTACAAAAGTTATTATTATTATTTTTAATTTTGACTTAAGTCTGTTCTCACTTTATGGTCTTGGGGTCTGGTATTAAAAACAGTCTTTGTGAAATAATTGCAATATTCTCAAATTTTGCAGAAAACGGGTGTATTTTTTTTTTACCTTCAGTAAAGAAAATATGAGGAATAAGTTTGATAATCTTCAGAAAAAGTTCTTTCGTGATCTATAAAAATGATCTATAAAATGTTGAAAAATAGGGTAAACTTTCGGCTGTTTTTGAAGAAATTTTCAGTATTTGAGGATAATGATGTAATTCATGACATCATAATACATAGACAAACGAGAAAATTACATCATTTGTTATGGGTATGCAGTCACAAAGGGTCCAAGTTAAATTTGATATATTGTCAACTAAAACTGAGCAGTGTTGAGTTTTCAGTAACTCACAGGTCAAAAAAGTTCCCTTAGTTAACCTTGTTTTTTCATCTAGAAAGGACAGTTGGCTCCCATCTACTTGTTTTTCCGTTCAAAGAGTGGACTTTTAATAAAAAACTTTTCCGAGTTCTCCTTTTCTTTGTAAATTTTATTTTTTCAGGCACTCTTTTTACCCTTTATCAATGAGATCCCAGAATGTTCTCTATTTTTATTGTATTTTATCTTTAACAGAATTATCCCTGACCTTTTCTAGTTAATGAAATCTGTCTTTATCAGTAATATCCCTGACTTTTCTCAAATTATTGTTATTTGCCTATATCAGTGAGATAACTGTTTTCTAGTAGTTGTAATTGGTCTACCAGTGAGATCTCTGTCTTCTAATTAATGTAATTTAAATATCAACGAGATTCCTGGCTGTTTTCTATTTCTTGTGAGTACCTTTATAGTCATTGATATTTCTGAATTTTTCTAGTTATTGTAATTTGTTTCTCACCTGGAAATGCTTTTGTAAGAGATCTATTATGAACCAAGCATACAGCACAGGGAACGCCATGACCAAATAAAGAATTACGGTGATAATTGATGGTTCTCGTGTGGTACAAAGCGCCGAAAAGGCGGGTTCCAACATCGCTATAATAAGTGTTGTTTCCCCACTCTGGGTCCTTCGGTAAACACAGAGTGTCGACATTCAAAGAGTCTTGTGAAAGATATGTCCCTGCAGTAATCCCTGTAACCCATATATGAACAATGCCAAATTAGCTCTGCTTGATGCAGAGGAATTTCAAAAAGATCTAGAAGAATCCTCTCTAATCTCTAATTATTTTAAAGTAATTACTGTATATCAAACGAGTTTGAAGACTTTGATTTACCAGAAAAAACTAATTCAGCATTAGAGGGACACTTCCTCTTCCCCCATCTTGTATAAACACTGCTTCTTTTTCTTTTATCTGTCAAAAATGATTTAAAAAATACGGGAAAATGGATGCAGCATTTTCTATGAAATATTTAGCATTTTTAATCTTGAAAGGAAGACTTCATTCAAAGGACTTGCATCTCTTATAACCATAGTACCTTCCTTTCTGAGACTAGCCTCCACCTGTCCCTTTAATGTGTTCACAGATTTATCAATGACATCAGTGAACCTTTTGAATTCTTGCTTTAGAGATTCTATCTCTAGAGCAGACGACAGTTGTTCTGTAAGGTAGCCCTGTAACATGTCTTTACAAGTTCCGGCCTTTGATTCTCCGTCTGCTGTGTGAAGGAGCAACAAAAGGAAGGAGAGAAGACCAATCATCTGAGGAATAAAATAAACACGTGATAAGTAAACGTGATCTTTTAATGTTCTTTAAGGTCAGACGACATGTTCACCAATATATATGTATAATTTTTCCCAAGAATTTGTCATTGAAGTATTGCTACTTTAACAAGTTTCCTCCCAAAATTTTAGGTACCTTGCCAGGCATAACAGATGATGGTGTTTTCTATATAATCCTATTGGGAAATCTCTTGAATTGTCAATATCACATTTTTTGGTGTATTTTAAAAGACATTTAAAGAACAGTTTAAATACCGCAAAATAATTATAATTATGAAAATTTTCTATACATTGTGAAAAGACACAAAACAGATATTCGAGGAACGTGTCGTCTGACCTTAACTTTTACGTGTATTTGTATGGCAGATGAATTTTAATGTCATAAATGAATGTGAACAAACATTGTAAATGTAACATAAGAAGGGGAATGGGTTTTATAGGTTTTTTAAAACATTATTCTTTGTTCACGTCAGAACTTTAACTGTCTATTTCTCGTTTAACATTTACAAAACCACGTTAACTATGTTTGTAAAGTCTTAGTAAAATCTTAGAATTGAAATCGATTTTTTAAATTATGATAATATTGATAAAACGGTATATTTAGTAGCGACATTAAAAAATGTTTTACTCACGTTTTTGTAGAACGACAGAGAAGGCTTGTATATATAATCGTAAATAAATTGAGCATGATGGCAATGTATATTACGTTACTCTTTCATACTTTTAAGTATTAATATTAAAAAAAAGTTTGATGTTTTCCTACCTTTAAAGAATTAAGCCTTGAAATATAGAAAAGGTGTAAGGATTGAAGGTAGGCTTTATAGAATATAATACATACTAACGTATTATATATATTATACTTGATGGTTAGAAAAGAAAATATGATACTATAAATGCTTCTCGTTTTCCAGATGTTTCACGGAGAGATTAGATTTAAATGTAATGATACACCAAACATAGTACTCTTAAGTTTAATATCATGCTACATGTATTTGCTCCTTTTTATATCCTATATTTTCAGGACTACAGTTGCAAAATTTATGCAGAAAACATTTTTAAAGCCCTTTGTTCCTTCCAAATAAATTTACTGACATATCTACAGATTTTAATCAAATAAGTTTCCATTGAAAAAAAAAAATAACAAAGGCTTATATCTTTTACACACAATCCATTTTAACTGTAATATCATTTTCTATAATTCATAGAATTAATCAAATTATGATATGAAAAAGAATTAAGGTATGTATTTCTTTGTTAGCTGCATATAGACTTAAGCTGTTTTTATAATTCCAAACTGCATTCCAAGATTTTACTCGTCGATGCAATATTAGGCTGTACACATTTCATAAAGTTAATTCCTAAAGCGTGCCATTTCATCCAGGTTTCTTCGTTATTTACAACGTCATTTTCCTTTTACGTATTATATATCATAATCAGTTTTTTTTCCTGTTTACAATTATTTTTTTCAAAGCAGCTTATGAACTAGACAGTGATAGATTTTTTCCAATTATGTTTTTTTTTCCGAAGTCAATATCTATTCCAACATTTTGCTACCATGCGCCAATATCTCACAATTTTTCCAACGATGAAGATATTTTTGACGTCATAAATAAGTAAATGGTTACATGGAACTAGTATATGATATTGCAATCTTAAGGTATCTGGAGAGGATAGACTAAAATAATTATTGTTCTATTAAGAAAAAGGCAATTACACTACAGGGTAATGCAAAAATTAGTCTACAGTAACGTTGCTAGGATAAAACAGTCCGTAAAATAGCACAGAAATCAGTTCATATGACATGTTGAAATATTTTTTATGGTCATGTTCAATTCAAGTGTCTAAAATGTTGTTATAAGGTTAAATGTGCTGTGATTTAGTGAATTTTTGCAAAACAGCATCGTTGTTTCATATTAAGCGCATTCAAATAATAACATAAAAAGGATTTAATATGAAAAGTTCCCCATTACATATCCATATATAGAGATATAATTTATATATGTATATAATAGACTGGCACATGCGATTAATAAGGATATATTGAGATGTTCTGTGTGAATTAATCTGTAATAGAGTTATGTCCGCTGACTGAATCTGGATGCTGGGGGATTGTATGTAACATATCCCTTTTTGTATAAATTGCGATGAATAGTGGACATTTTATCCTATTTTGTGTTCTCATAAATTATTTACTTTAATTACAAATAAAATTCAGATTTGCCCCAGCACATTATATTGTTATACGTTAGAATAAGATTGATCGACTTATGAATAAAATAAAACGTTCACAATAATTTTGTCATGCACTTACGACGATGCGATTTTTGTGCAACATTTAAGAAAAATTATAAGTGTCTGTGACGTAATCAACTAAGTCACGTAGCATCACAAAACTTCTTTATAACAATTAATACCTTATGGGTCCCTTTGCAAATTGGCATTTATACAAAGTTAACAAATTAAAATCAAAACCTCGCTTGAAATTAAAGAGTAAGGATGTATCTCATATTAGCCTTCAGTCGCCGCGTGGCGCAGTGGTTAGAGCGTCTGCTCTAGAGTTGCGGCGTAAGGAGTAGATCCTTACGTCGCGGGTTCGAATCCCACTGTGGGACGTGAAGACCGGTCCTTCGGATGAGACCATATAAACCGAGGTGGTGCTGGCACGAAAAAGATCCCTCACTGCTCAATGGCCGTAAGTGCCGAGTATAGGACAAAACTTGCAGCTCTCCACCGGCAAGTGGTGGCTTCTCCATATGAGTGAAAAATTCCCGAGAGGGACGTTAAACAACGTACAAAAAACAAACATACATGTATTAGCCTTCGGAAAGCCTTAACAAAGCTGCGTAATTAATCCACAGCGTCAAATACAAGACAAATTAAAGACTAACATGTGTCAGTCATGTATATGTCATATATGTCATGTCAGTACTTTCTTAGTTTATTCTCTGCTTCTCCCATGATATGATGAATAAGCCTTTTATATTGGAATCACATATCAATATATTAGCAGGCATGTTAATGCAGCACCCAGATTGTTTTCCAGCAAATTCTATATACTTACAGAATTCTTACTTTTCTTTTTTTTCTCAGTTTATTTTATTGAACTTTATTTCATGATAACATTTTATTGACATGATAACACAATACCATACCATCAAAATATTTATTTCCGCTCAAATAATTAATGCTATTAATCAATTATATGATTATATATATTACTTCTCTTCCACCGACATAAGGTGGACATTTCAGGACACCACATTTAGTCCCAACAGATGTAATAAGGTGCTCATAATGATGAAACCTGTTTGCCTATGAGATCCTGAAGTAATTATTTCTAATTACAGTAAGTACAAAACGTGACTTTTAACCCTTACCCTTGCATCAGTCAATAAACCGTTCAAGCCATTCACTACTTATGCATAATGCTGATGATGCGCTATAGATTTATGATATCTGTGACTCAACTCAAACAACCATTCAGCGATCAAGATTATACAGGTATATATATTCAGTAGATATAGTGAAATCGTGTCAATGTCATAACCGTGATAGTTATGTACTTTAAGATTTTACCTTACGTCTTGACCAGTAAGGAAACTCTGCGGATTGAATCGTTTGTTTTCGTTTATATTACCTACAAATCGCTAGACAAGTACCATGTTAAAACCAATATCTTCTTTTGGAAAGGATAAACTTTCCATTTAAATTTTATTTCTTGACCTTGACCTTGGAGTTTGACTTGCATTTGAGAAACTTTAACCTTTGCCATAAGCTGCCATACGGGGGCATCATTGTTTCACTAACACATCTTGTTTCTCAAAGAATTTGAATTTTTCAAAATGTTTCGAGCAAGTTGTTAGGAAAGTCTTGAAATTTATATTTTTTTGCAAAACATAATTCAAAATTCTTGCAATGAATCTCCGACGTCTTTTATTTGCTAATATTTATTTTTATTAATAAATTATTTCTGAGAAATAATTTTTTTTTTTTTTTTTTTTTTTAAAGATACTCATGAAATTGATTTCAAAGATCACCCTAGACCCCTAGAAATAGACTCCTTGAAATAAATACAAGAGATCACTTCGTGAAAAAAGGTATGGTGTCTTCATTTAGGAATTGCTTATTAATTGAGTAATGTTGCTTTTCCAACTGAACTAAAAAGTATAATAAATTGCCTTTATTATTAAAGAGAATAACACAGTTAAAGTATTGCACCAGCTAAGCCTCAGTATAATGGAATTTTTCAAGTAAATCTATGCTACAAATATATGTAAGTATGATCGAAGTACTAAGAAATCGTTTATTGTTGGCTCTCTTGATAGTCAGATATTTCCCAACTATGCATGGATAATTAGAAACAGACATTTAGACTATTGTTAGAGGGGATTGATTTGATATTCTTCTAATTAAACAGGTTAACCTTCTTAATGTTGGGGACAAAACAAAATATTTTAACCTTTTTCCATGTTATCTACGTAATATCGCGTTGTCAGTGTGTCTTTTGTTTTAATGAATATTTCAAAATAAACATGAAATAAGATAAAGGAATAGATAGATTAATTTCAAATTATAGCCAAGCAGCAATTAGCGTTAGTTAAAGTATCCAGTGCCATACATAAAAAACGCCTTCTCAAATGCAGCAAAATAAACATTCCAAATGCTCCGAATTTTCATAAATTAAATAAAATTAAGGATTTATCATCTCTGAAAAAGTCGACATTCGCAACGTTTATAGATTTTCAAAAAGCGTTTGATTTGGTGGACAGGCAACTGTTACAATATAAACTTAGGCTCAATGGAATTGACGGTTTGTGTATAATGCTATTTCTAACCTTTACCTGAAGATTGAATCATGTGTGCGCTTGAATAATTTTCATACAAATTGGTTTATAAGTAAAATCGGGGTTCGTCAGGGAGATACTTTATCACCTACATTGTTCTCAATTTTCATTAACGACTTAGCTGTGAATATTAAGGAAACAAATACTGGAATTCCAATCAATGATGAGAAAGTTTCTTTGCTTTTATACGCAGAAGATATCGTGTTATTAACAGAAAATGAAATGATATGCAAGTTTTACTGGACCTATTTTATGATTGGTGTATAAAATGGCGATTAAGTGTTAACAGCGAAAAGTCAAATGTTGTGCATAATCGTAAGGGACATCAACCACGCAGTTGTATGTAACAAATATCAACATGCTAGAGAGGAACTATTAAGAAACCTACTGTGTCTTATTAAACCAAACACTAAATTGAATATTATTGATTGTCACCTACTTCTGTGGGGAGATGAGTCACAAAATGTTGAAATCAATAAATATATTTTTCAATCTGTACAAAAATTTATAAGAGATTCTGGAAGATTCAATTAATTATTACAGCCTTACACTAAAACTCTAGTTAGTTATATATTTATCATGTAATGAATGTATGTTTAAAACAAATATGTTTGTATATATCAATATTTTTTTTTTCTCTATAATATAGACCTTGACAGTTGTATCCATTTATGGTGAGAACCTCGTAAGTTGTTAGAACTTGTGTTCAAACCATTTGTATATTATTTATACAAAAAATATGTTCAAACCAAACCAACCACGCAGTTTCAATTCAGGATTGGAAGTGAGAAATTGCAGACTGTTTATCTTGGAATTATATTTCATGAAAAGCAGTCTCCATTCTAATTTGCAGCTGAAACACTAGCGAAGGTCGGTGGCAGGTCACTGGGGGAATGACTTGTGATCTTGTTGATATAGGAATATTGACAAATGCGACTTTATAATGATAGAGTCGAGTTATATTACCATTTTACATGTGCCTTTTCATTTCAATTTTACTTATATCTCGAAATTCGCACATTTTCATATATACATGTATAATATGTGGTAAAAATTGAAAAAAAAGAAGAAAAAAAAGAAAAAAAAAGAAAATGTAATTGGCCTCGAATTTATATTCAAATGACCTAGATCTATAATAAAAATTCGAGGCCAATTACATTTTTTTCTTCTTTTTTTTTCTTTTTACCACATATATCTGTGCTTTAAAAACAATCCTATTCTTTTTAAATATTGATATAATTGAATTTGTTCAAAATCACTTGAGAAGATTTTGTGTTAAAATGGTTTTTATCATTCCTACTATGTGAACATCCATTTAATATACCATGTTTTAAACTGTAGAAATATAACTTTATGTAGAACACTTTCATCATTTTTCAGATATACTTATTTAAGCATTTGGCCCAGATGACAAAAATGAATAAAAGATATTATTTTATTTAAATATTATTTAGTTGATATATAATTAATAAATAAATATGATATAATATATATCATTTATTTCATAAAATTCGAAAGGGAACTATCTGGAAACCCTGCAAAAATTCTTTATGTTGTTGCCATACAACTGCTGAGGAGAAATAGTTTTGCTGGACAAGTAGGTAAAGAATAAGTTTATTTTTCATCACTACATTCACAATATTGGGAATTCAAACATCACTATGTACTTTTGCCTTTTCACTTACACACATATAGTATATTTTAATTAAATAGATCTAGAAACTCCATCTCCAACAGATTTCGGTGACTGATTTTCTTACGAAAAAAACCCCAAAATAAAACAACAACAACCAAACAAAATTTTCGATATGTCATATATTTGTGATATTTTCAATTTTAAATATATCAAAATATTTCACAGATCAAGCTCCAACTCTAAAACAAACCAATAAATTACTAACAGTCTCTCATATTTGTAGCATTTTATTTAAATCCAAAGAACTTTAAAATGCGAGTTTTGAGGCCTCTTCTCTTTGTTGGAAGGAATTCCTGAAGAAAAAAAAAATCAAAACTGTTTTAAATAAAAAAAATGTGTTTGTGAAAAGACATTTATAATCTATTTAAAGAGTTTTGAAAACAAATTTGTAATTTTTTCATCAATGTCAATTATAAAGATACCTTTTCCTCACAACGAGCCTTTTCTGCAACATAAGCGTGATTATCCTCCGCGCGCATGCTTGAGCAAAGGTTCGGAATAGACACGATTTCATTTGGCACGTCACTCTGAAAAATATGGAATAGCAATTTTATTGTTAAAATCCTAGGAAAAAAGTATAGTAAATATTTTTGAATGTCGTCTCTCGGGGGATGTAAAAATTAAAATAATAATGGTGTTTACCTCTGGGCCATCTCTGAAGGAATCGACGTTAAATAAGAACAGCTTTCGGGGAACAAACGTTTCATCGCAATTATGGTCTGTAGCTTTCATCCGTTCTTCAAACTTGGAATTCTTTAAATATGAAATTAAAACAGGAGGTTTAAAACAAAGAGGAAAAACACATGAAAGCTAATTCAAATACATGTATCTTTAAAGTTTTCATAAAATTTACCTGGGTTTCCTGTCGGTCCTCTTGTGGTTTTAATTCGGAACTTTTGTCCTAAAGAAAGAAATATTTTCCTCAAGCGGTCAGGTAAAAGCAAAAATAAAATAAAAACATTTGCAAGAGCTGGTAACAAACGTACTTTTGAATTTTTCTCAAATTCTTTCTGAAGCTTTTCTTTCGCCGTTTTAATCATCTTAGTGATGTATTCCTAGATGGAAAAAAATTATAAACTAAAGTAGAATGATTTAAATTCCTAGCATCTAATTTAGTAGATTTGCTGCAAATGTACTAGTTCGTTGGGACGTAATTTCGTGGGCGAATTATCTCAGTATGAAGGATATTACATTTAACTATTACATATTTAAATATAGTTAGGGTCATAAATGTGCATATAATACCCATGAAAGAAATGCACAAGAATTGAAACCCACAAAGTCTTATTTCACAATACATCTAGTTAAAACTCGTGTTTAATCTCTCTCTCTCTCTCTCTCTCTCTCTCTCTATGCGAGAGGGTGTGTGTGAAGCATACACAAAGCATCTCAAAAATGAAATTTTAAATTATTATTTAGAGTGTTAGTAGCCAAGGGCACAATGGGTTAAGTGTTGTAAGGACATAATTACTCTAGCAATTTCCTTTCGCAGCTTTTCATTGGCAGCAATTATAATTTCTTTGACATATTCCTAGAGAAAGAAAGGGAATTCGCCTAATTCATGTGGGATATAAAAAAAAATCTTCAGACTCTAATTCCATTAACAACTATATAGAAATATTTATATTTAAACATATATAACTTTAGTCTAAAATAAATTTACTGCCATTTAATCAGCTTCAGTAAAGACACCACGCGAGCATTTAACCTTTCAAATTACAAAACATCAATATCAAACCCTACCTTAATGAGGCAATTCTGTTTCTTCCTTTCCACTATCTAAAAAATAAATAAAAGTAAAATGAAATAAATGTTATTATAAGTAAAATATTCGTATACAACATGTGTATATCACATGAGAAAAAAAACCATATGCACAAGCATAAGTCTTATGTACATGTACTTACCGCAAGTTCTCTGTGGACTGCTTCCATCATGATTAGTTTTCTGGCCGTATCTACTCGAATTTGGGTCATATAATTGGTCCTTTTGGCTACTCTTTCCTATTATAAAGAACAATTTTTATAGAGGAAGGATTTAAAAGAGACGTTTGAAACATGTTTATTGTTTCTAATTATAGTCTTAAATTAATAGTCCAGTTCTACATGTACATTATCAAACAAGGTGATATTCACCTTTATTTGAAAACCAAATCGTTTTCACATCGTAGAAATATCTTAGTATTGCTTAGTACTTTTTCCGAAAGTTTACATTTATTATTGAGCGCTACGTACCTTGAGCTCTCTATGGACAGCTTTCATTATCTCACTCTTTTGTATCATGTCACACTGTATTTGTCGCATCTCGGTTAACTTTCTGATGAATATGTCCTAAAATAAGTATAAATATATTTTTTACATTTAAAAGTACATGCTTTTAATTCACTGCTTAATAAAGTTAAATTAATTATTGAGCACTGTGTACCTTGATCTCTCTATGGACAGCTTCCATTTTCTCTTTCTTTCGCATCATGTCGGACTGTATTTGTCGCAATTCGCTTGACTTTCTGATTGCTACATCCTAAAATAATTAATATTTGCTTGCATTTTTAAGTTACATGCTTTTAATTTAATGTTTATTAATTGTACATTTATTATTGAGTACTACGTACCTTAAGCTCTCTATGGACAGCTTTCATTATCTCACTCTTCCGCATCATGTCCGACTGAATTTGTCGCATCTCGGTTATCTTTCTGAAGACTGTGTCCTACAAAATTTTTTTTATAGGTATATATATTTTTTTAAATTTAAAATTACATGCCTTTAATTCACTGTTTTTCAAGTGTACATTAATTATTGAGTACTACGTACCTTAAGCTCTCTATGGACCGCTTCCATTTTCTCTTTCTTTCGCATCATGTCGGACTGTATTTGTCGCAATTCGCTTGACTTTCTGGTGGCTGCATCCTAAAATAATTAAATATTTGCTTGCATTTTTAAGCTTTATGCTTTTGTTTTAATGTTTATTAATTGTACATTTATTATTGAGTACTACGTACCTTGAGCTCTCTATGGACAGCCTCCATGACCTCAGTCTTCCGCATCATGTCGAACTGAATTTTTTGCATCTCCTTGGACTTTTTCTTTATTGTCCTCTAGAATAAGTACAGATGTATATATTTGTTATATATTTTTACATTAAATTTGTATATAATGAATATTTAGTATAATTTAATTTTAAATAAAATAAATTAATATTTAGAATAATTAGTTATTCATAATTCTGAACAATTGATAATTCAGTTAATTCAAGGAAAAACCCGTGTTATGACTGTTTGGACGAATTAAGCTGGCAATGATCGAGAGAATGTAATCCCTATAATTTTTGTAATATAGATAAATTATATATATACTAGACTTTGACCCGTGCGTGCACGGGTTGACATTGTTATGAATGCATCCATGTGCATATCGGACATTTACAAAATAGATACATCGACACATTCATATTGTAAGGTATTTTTTAAATAAACAATGAATGTGAATATAATTCTGTTTTTTTTTGGTTTTTTTTTTTTGGTGTTTGTTTTGTTTTGTTTTGTTTTTTTAATTGTTACGTAACGGCGTAGCGCAGAATGGGTTTGACCACCAGTTAGCTATAAATCAAGTCTTGAGTTCGAATCACGCCGGAGCTTACATAAATTTCATCCTTCCAAACAAATTTAATAAAAGAAATTATGGATGTTCATTGAAAATATGACAACAGCAAGGAGTTGAGCACACTGCTGATACATATCAAGCAAAGTAATGAAATGAAGAAATGTGCTAAGCTGGTATTTTTTACACAATCAGTTATTAAAGTAAAGGTGTAAAAATTTTTGTAACAATTTTAACACTGCAGGTCTCAAATTGTTCAAAATATGACCTCAACAATAAAAGAGTTAAGCACGGCTAATACATATACTTTATATATACACAGGTAATAGACAGGTATATAATCTGTAAAAGACTGTCTGTTTTGATAAAAATTAATGTAATATCCTTGAATTAGTACATAGAAAAAGTAATAAAAATAGAAGCTTAATTGAGAAAAAAATAAAAACAAATTGGTAATCTTCAAGTACCAATGATGTTTAAAATATATAAAACAAAAGACAGTATTCTTCCGATTTATCGGTATTAAAGGCCAAAAATTCGAGTCTATAATTTTTATATAGTAGTTATCATTGTAATTTTTAGCGGAAAAAGAATGCCTACTTCACTAAGATGTGATTCTAACTGGAGTTGTAACACCCCCCCCCCTTTCAGTTCCCCTCAAAAAAGCATAAAAGAAAGGAGGGATAAAATAAATCGGGTAGTTACATTAATGTTGCTCCTACGATCATGAGCTTTTTGCCTCCGTTGAGATGGCCAGAGATATAAATAACATATAATAAATGTGTCTCCGAGATGGCGAATGATTACCCACGTGGCCACAATATCACATTTGTATGGATATAAACTCAGAAACGATTACGATAATACAAACATAGGCGTCAGAAGCAAATTGAAAGTGGGGTGGCTATTTGAAAGTTGGGGGGGGGGGGGGCTAAACCAACGAAAAAAGGTAAGCCCCAATTTTCAATGCCTATATTATGTCTATCTTTGCAAAAAAGGGGGGGGGGCTAAGCCCCCTTGCCCCCCCCCCCCTTCCGACCCCTATGACAAATACGTGTAAATTTTCATTGGAAATTTGCTTTATATTCTGTTCATATATATTACTGATTTCTTATTAGAGAAATTTTTCAATAACAAATATATATCTACTTAGTATTTACTTTTGTCTTCTCTGATTTGAACACACTCTCCACCAACGGCTCATACATTCGTGTATGAGAGAGAAACGAACGACAACTCTGCAAGGGAGATTGATTTAGCGTGAATGTAATGCGCACGCGCAAGATTGTAAAATCCAAAAAATCCAGATGATTTCCGGAATTTTTTGAGGAATTTTCGTTGATTATTAATTAGCGAAGCTTAATTTAGAAAAAATAAAAACAAATTGGTAATCTTCAAGTACCAATGATGTTTAAAATATATCAAACAAAAGACAGTACTCTTCCGATTTATCGGTATTAAAGGCCAAAAATTCGAGTCTATTATTTTAATATAGTAGTATGGATGAGTCCCCAACAATAAATAACTCATTTCTTTCATCCAGTGTTGAGACATGAGAGATAAAAAAATCTATAATTCTTTTTTTTTTAACTTACAATCATTTCAAGGTGAACTTTGCTCATAATGGCTCGCAAAATCTTCATTCCTTCTTTTTCTTTTAACTCAATTGCCTTAAACAAATAATTATATACAAAAATTTAAAAAAAATTGGAAAAGGCGATTACATGTACATGTATAATGCGAATTAATTGTGTAACCTATTATTATCATTAACATCCCAATAAAGCATAAATAGTAAAGGCTACATATATAATGGCCAGAAAATGTCACCAATAAATATATTAAGTATACCTCCAGTCTTTCTTGTCTCTCTACTTCCTCAGCCCAATTATAAGAAAATTTTAAAATTTCCAGTTTGGTCTCCTGAAATAAGACAAAAAAATAACATAAACCGCAATTTATGCATAAATCACTTTTTTACTTTTTCAGAAAGAAATAGATAAATATAGTAACAATAAAAGATTACATAATATATCGACATTAAACATAAACTAAAGCTTTGGTGTGTACTTACTCCCTTGTCACTGAAATCCAG